CGGGCAGGGGTACGGGCACGGGCACGGGCACACACGTATACGGCGGGGGATACGACACGAAAAACGAAAACAAAAACGAAATACGAGCGCACGAAAATTGCTTTAAGAGCTTTGCTTTACTTTAAAGCCGACGACGACGACTGAAGCCCGTAGAGGAGAGGCGCCGGGCTCTGATTTGGACTGCAATCGAGCAACGGATAATATCCGTTCTGATACTGCCGCTGCTGCGGTCGATTCGCAGTCGCAACAATTGCCAGTTGGATATATTTTTTTGTGCTGCTGCTGCTTAGTGCAACATTTGAAGCGTCGGTCGCATCGCGGCCGAGGCAGCGCGCTTTGGGTTGCAGTTCAGTTTCCAGCTGCTGACCGCACGATTCAGAGGCAAAACGAAGACTGAAAGCACCCAGTTGGCGCACTCGTTATTATATACGCGAAGCCACCCCCGAGCACAACACACACTGGAGCAAGAGCCGGAGCACAGGTCCTTCGTGCACGGTCGGCTAACAGCGGCACGACCATAACTCCGTGGTGAATTGAGTGCGAATCACGGATGGATTGAGTTGTCGTTGCCAGTCACAGATGATGGTTACTTTTGCGGATAGAACGAAATTGAAGGGCGAGCGCGGAATGCAACAGTTTTATGTTACATTTTGGGTTGTCAAAGATCAGGCTTAGCAAATTAAAATTTAGATGAAATATGACTTGGTAGTGGCCTTAAATCCGATTCAAGCGCTAGTTGCCACACCGAAAACACTACCATATGCCAGGAAACACACAAAATGCCAAACATTTAATTACATTTTACATATCTGTTAACTAACAGCCTGGGGGAGCGTGCCATAAAAACTTATCCGCTCTGGCTCTTTGCGAAACGGTTAACATTTGCACTGGCTGTAATGTTAAATAACAGATTTACTCCGTTTTGTGGCTGTTAGGGGTTTAACAGAGTTGCTGGTATGATAACATGCAACTTACAGTAGCACAGTTTTAGCGGTTAATGTTAGCGTAACAGCGTAAGTGTTGATGGCATATTCTTGGGGCTGTTATGTTAATATTTAACATACACTAATGGGAGGCAGCACCAGGAGTATGTTAACATCGCGGCTATGTTATTTTAATGCATGAACATTTTCGGTTGCGATCAAAATTTGATTTCATTTGCATATCAAAATGGAAATCTTTGTGGCATACATTTTCTACACTATTTACCCTATCCCTTTGCCGGCATTTATCTTGCTTATTTTGCCACAGGTGTGGCGCTGTGGCTATCGGAACCATCAAATGTCACTCGGTAAACAATTTAAAAGCACATAAATATCTGAATATTGAAGCCCGGGAACAACTCCATGGATGGAAGAAAAATGCTAAGAGCAGCGCATAAATAACAGTGCCACTATGTGGTGGGATCGTGTGTGTGCCGGTGGGGGGGGGG